AGTTTCTATTTGTCAACCTTCCATTAAGGCCTGATTCATGAAGTGAACAGCCAATAGTTGTTCACTCAATAGACTCTCCTCATCTAAGGTTGTGTATATTGGCTGCTTGCCCAGAGTTACCATACTTCTTGGCTCCTCTCTGGTTAGTCCCAAAAGTACATGTTGAACTGAGCAGTCTTCCATAAAACTTTCAAACTAGGTCATGTTATTTAGTAACCTTTAACCTTTAGTACTTGCAGCAGGACAGAGGACGAGAACAGTGGCGCTGCGCTCTGTGTGCTTGGTCATTTCTTGGTCAGTATTTATAGTTGAGTGTTGTCTAAGACCTCAGCGAATTGTGGCACGGTTATGGAAGCAAAGCAGAATGAAAGGAGGGTATGAATTGATTTGGTGAAATTTATTTCAGCTCTAAATATTTAATATCTAGGTGATTTTATGGGAATATGGATGTTTCAGATTAGCTTAAGAAGCAATTTTGATCACAGTTATTGTGCCATGTAGTGCGGGGCGTCGGTCTTGGTCTCAACTCGGTCTCAGACCCTAAAAGTCTTGGCGCTGTCTTGGTTTCGGGTCAGGTGGTCTTGACTACAATATGAGAAATAAAGGCAACCTACTGCGTGAACCGCTTAAAAAAAAAAAAAGGAAATGAATGGGCCAAAGAAAAAAACAAAAACAAGTGCATAATAGTATCAATGATGATAGTATCAATGCCATTATCAAGTTTTGTCAGGTTTGGTTTATTGTGTGATTCCCCACTTGAAAGGGAAAGTTTCTACTATAAATCTCAACCCTCCTGTTATGTTTGTTTCTGAGGTACAGCAATAATGTTCGTGGGTCAGTTTAACCCAGGGAATCTTTAATTACGCAATAGTGTGAGAAACCAACAAAATTCCTCCAAAACATTTTTGTATCTGATTATTGATTATTTAGAATAATCAAACAGGATGATGATGCAGAAGCAGCAGTGATCGTTTTTGGACTCATTCTAAGCGATAAAAGACGAATCAAAACGAAAAGGCGTTTGATAAAAGACGGCGGAGCAGCCGCTCTGTTTGCTGCAGGTGAGTTGTGTTTGTTCATAGTTAACATTTTTAACTGAATAAACATAACCACATACAATAAACATACATAAAAATGACCTTTACATATATTAATAAACATTTCCACATGTCACCTCGGATGTCCACTGGACTCTCAGTGGCCATGTCAACGTTCTTACGTCACGGCGCTTTCTGAAAACAAATCTGCTGGTCGGTAGTTTTCAGAGACAATGTGGGGTATTCTGTTGTAATATCCCCCTTTTGTGGAGTTAAAAAATGCAGAAATTAGAGTTAAATAAAATAAATTGACATAAATAAATAATAGCAAAGTAGCCGTCCCGTGCACACAGACACATTAGAGACACACTTTGAGTTGGAACCCAGGTAAGTAAATCCCATGTTGCTATTATTTTTTTAGGGATATATTTACATTAATCATCTTTTTATAAGCCTTTAATCAGGCACAATCAACTTGTAATTGTATAATTTTCCCACCAAAATCCACTTTATGTGGATGGCAGACACCCAAAGAATGTTTTTTTTTATTATTTTGTTTTTGTGAAAGCACCTTTTATGCAACATGTGGTGTTCCAGTGTTGAGGCACAAATAACATAACATGTTAGTGCTTTATGTGACTTACTGATCTGATGCTTTTCTGTAATAGTTTTGTCAGTGAAATCTGACCAAATCAAATGTTATGAAAAAATTAATCCCTGTGGGCTGTAATTCCCTTCAGAATATAACTGTGCAAAACAACTAGTACCACACAGTGGTAAACCATGTCATTTTCAGCTGCTTTTCTCAGCTGGGGCACTTTTTACACAAGAGAACGGCTATGGCAACATGTTGTTGCACATTCCCAGCTTTAAAGGGAATGTGTCTTAGATATATATATATAGATATAGATCTATATGTATATAAATAGATAGATATATGTATATAGATATCTATCTATCTATCTATCTATAGATTGATATATATCTATTTATATATCTATTTCTATATAAATATATAGATATATATATCTAATTATAGATATAAATATAAATAGCTTGAAAACATTTCTGCACCGTACGAATGACAATGTTGTAAAGGGAGTGTATTATATTAAATTGACTTTTTTTTAATATTCATATCATGTTACACCCTCATCAAAAGCAAACCTAGACCAATGATTAGAGTAATATTAAGCTTAGTTTTCACAGAAGTTAACTGTGCGATTAAGGGAATAGAAAGTAGTAGTTTGTACTGAATAACTAAGCTTTTTACCAAGCTTAGTTATTTTACAGAATTAATAAAATTATTTTAGAAAAATGCAATCCGTTAAATGCCTGGCCTCTTGATGTTGCTTTGTTTTTCTAGGATTTTGCGGGATTTGTTTTTGCTTGTTCACAGCTCAGACTGCAGAGAACAAACAACTGTTTATGAGAACAACTAGGTGAAGGTCGAACGGCGCTGGACGGGTCGTCTCCTGCAGGATTCATTATGGGGTCAGGATGTTTGGGTTTTGTGGGATGTGCAGTGAAGGACAAATAAAGTTTGCCCCAACACTAAGCAGCACATCTGTACTTTAATCAAGACAACCTTTAGCTTGGATGTGTGTGTATTGAAGTTAAAAGTTCACCCAATAACTAATGCTTGTTATTAGGAAACTCATCGCTTTCAATGAGAGCTAAAAACTGGTCCAGCTTCTCTATGAAAGCTACCAGCACTTACTAGCAGAAAACAACCACCGGATCAGCAAATATCTCATATGCCCTTATTTGGATGCATCCCTTGTCCTGCACCCAAATTAAATACAAGTGGGCGTCTGAGAAAGATAGTAGAAAAATTATACCAAGACAACATCACAACATATCAGTTTCCTAACGCTGTCAGATTAAGGATTGCTGGATGTTATGGCTGAAGTTTGTCCTCACAAACAATCCACAACAGATTTTCCTCAATCAATATGTATCCCATGTCTGTCCTTCACCATTGGGCCCATTTGAACTGGTGTAGGAATCATCTGCACTGGAACATGAACATGGAGAGGAACACAATATCCCAAAATTTCTCCAAATGCTGACAAAGGCACATGGGTAATAAAATCAGAGTGTGGAGAAGATGGAGAGAATGCTCTACTGATTGCTTCACCCAATAAGGTAAAAGCTTTTGGTGGCGTTAGTGTGATGGTGTGGAATGGAATCTGTCTCAATTGAATAGCAATGATTGTCCTAGTAAGTCACAATCTGAGTGCAAAGATATTGAAATGAGATTCAATGCCAAGTAAAATATCTCCAAAGTCTGAACTCAATCCAAGATTGTGATGCTCATCCTCAGGGAGTGAACTTTATCAGAGAATAAAACCTCCTGAATGTGGAAATGGAGTGAGTGGACTGCTGGTCAAAGAATGGGACGCTATCCTTACCCTTACTTTTAATTTACTACTACATGCCAGTGAGTTTATTGTTGCAGCAATAAGTCACAATCAGTTTCTCTCATAGGTAACTCACACACTGTCCAAACGTGGGTCTGGAAATGTTTCAACCTTCCGGTTTTCCCCTGCATTGCAATAGATTTTCCGCTTCCCTTAGATTCACACAGACGTACTGTGGGCATTCACATGCTGCAAACGAGCAACTAAATGAAAAGAAAAAGAGAAATGTGACACTCTGTTCTGCAGAGTGAGATTTAATGGAATCTCAGCAGATCTCAGATCTCTTTGATGCATCTTACAGGGCTCAGAGCCGGGAAAGACGGGAGGAAGAGCACCTTAAAAAATGAATGAACTTGAAAATGAGAAGGTTAACATGATTTATGCTGAAACAAAGTGTGTGCGGGTGTGAGGGGGGGGCTCATTGTAATAATGGGAAGCTGCCACAGAATTCATTTGTTCAGCATGACATTCAGCGCAATGGAACGCTATTCGTCTTCATCGCTCATCACCTGTCCTCGAGTCTATGAATGACAGGGGAGCCGCCGCCGGCACTTGTGCGCCTGTATAATTCCCACTGCCGAATTACGGCCTCACGTACATATGGCGGCATTCTGCCTAATAGAATCGTTGGAAGGCCGTCGGTCGAAAGTGACGGGAGAGAGAAGTCACGGCGTCGGCTGTGGAGCCGTGCGCTGTGCCGAACCGGTGCTTTAGAAGAGGGTTATTTTATTTCCTTTCTGCAGGAAAAGGAAATCAAATAAACAAACCAGAGGCAGCTAGCATGCCCACACAGCGAACAAACACTTTAGATTTTAAAAATGTAAAGAAGAAAAGGAGTTCTCTCCTTCTCAGGAAAATCAAAAGTGCTGAACAGGCACGCCTGCAGTTTTCTAAAAATATGATAAAACAATGTAAAGCATATGAAATGTGTATTTTCACAGCCTATTTTTGAGCACATGTTCCCTATTCAGAGTTGAGGTAGTGATAGATGCTCAGTGTCCTTTATTGTGACGCAATTCCCTCAAGTTCTGAGGAATAAAGGAACATGTTGTGGCAGCCTGATCACTCATCATTAAATAAATATTAAACGTACGTTACCGTCACCAACACGCCCCATTTTCTTTTGGAAGATGCATCCTCTGGCAACATGGCCGCCAAACTCAGTCGTTTCCGGTTGCTGCGTTTGCCAGGAAACGCAGCAGAGTAGAGCGAGAGAGAGAGAGAGAGAGCAAAAGAGAGAGAGAGAGAGAGAGAGAGAGAAGAGAAAGAGAGAGAAGAGAGAAAGAGAGACAGAGAGAGAGAAAGAGAGAGAGAGTGACAGAGAAAGAGAGAGAAAGAGAGAGAGAAAGAGAGAGAGAGAGTCATCTCACAGCTCCACTGGCTCACAACAGAAACCTTTTTGGACCAAGTGTGGCTCCAAATGCTGTGAGTGAATAAAAAAGTGGGTAAAGTAACCACAACTTTTACTTATTCAAGAATAGTAATACTTTAAAAGGTGAAAAAAAAAAAAAAAAAATAGATTTATTTTAAAGTCATTATATGCTGAGCTGAGAAAAGTGGGCCGTCTGGATCAGCAGAGCCTCTATGCGGTTGCACTGAGCTGAACCAGCCACACAGTAGCAGCTGCATCTCTGACAGTCACCTGTTGAGAGATTATTTTCAGTCATTACATTTTGTTAAGATTACGACAGCACAGCTTCAATTTTGGTTGTACAGTGTGGATGAATTAAATAAATGCATTTATTCACTTTTTAAACATTCAGTTTAAAATGCTCATAATTGAAACCACTTTGTTGCTCTACAACAAAGTGCCAACAGATTCTAGACATTTCAAAATAAATTGTCTAATAAGGAAAGTGCAGTGACAAAACATTTTATCAAATGTTTTGTGCTTTTCTGCCACACAATGCCTCTAATACGTTAGTCTCCTTCACCAACATAGCTCAGATTGTTATAACCCCGATTTGGATGTCAGTGTCTTCATGTCGGAGTCATTTTAAATGCATCTTAAGCTAGTTAAAATAGGCTGCTTTTGTCCAAAGGGCACACTAGTAGCCTCTGTGTCAGTCCGCCGCTATCAGAGCGCCGGTGCTGAATTGGCCCAGGTTGAAAGACGCACGGGCGCACACATTCGCCGCAGTTTGGCTGCATTGACAAGCCTCCCTTTGTTGACATCTGCACTAAAACCTCCCTTTCTTGTTTATTATGAACAAAGTGGCTTTTGATTGTGACGGTTTGAAAAGGAACAGAGAGCCCAAATAAAACAGCCGAACCAGTGAGATCGCTGCCATTATTAAAAGGAGCGTCGTGAGCGAGAAAACAGGGACTGGCGCTGTTTGATGAATTATTTGCGTTATTTGATTTATCCGCTGAATTATGCATAACACTATTTTCTGCGGCATCAGCGCTGACACTCTTAGGATGGCTTTAAAAGTCTGGGAGACGAGAGGAGAGCTTTGGAAGTTTTCAAAAGCCTCTCTTGGTAATAGTTATGCCGACTTCCATCTTGCTATGAAGTCGTGTCATCACCTCATATCTCCTCAGATTTCAGCTAAGAGCTTGTTTTCCCTGCACTCAATACGTCTTTCCGAGTTTTGCGTCTGCACACCGACGGCGAGTCGGAACGGCTCCGCGTGGCGCCTGGTCACCTCTGCAACACGAGAATGGCGGCGTTAAGCTGCGGGCTGTGCAGCGAATGTGCAATATAATGCTTTTTGACTCATTAGATTAAAGATAAGAGGGTGAGAACATGGGTTTCTGTTTATTTTTTCGCCATGGTTCGGCTGTGACGGTGAATTAAGATGATTGCGCATCCAGGGGTGAAGTTAAGTTCATGCACAGCTGGCTTATATGCTGCACATCCGTAAAGGACTCAGAGCGCTTCCCTTTTCAGCAGTTTTGTTGCACTTAAGCCTTATTCCAAAGTGGATTTAGCGTAATTGTTCCCTCGAAACACCACATGCAACACTGCATAATGAGAATGTGATTTATTTCTTTTTTGTCTGGTTTCTTTTGAAGGCGACACCTGGCATTCATGCCCAAAGGTTCAACCTACGTTTCATTAGACTTTTCGATTTATTTCTCATGGCAAATGCACTTTTGCACCTTATTTGTAGGGGAGGCTTCTGTCTGCGTTCTCCATCTTAGGGTGTTTTCACCACTGATACTCCAGTGGACTTGGTTTGATTGGGGACCAAAATTGCAACATTTTGGTCCCAAAATGTTAAAAGAATCCGTGGGGCTGCTCCCAGAGCCACAGAAAAGAAAATGACGGGAAAACCTCCTGAGACGACGTGAGCATGACTTCCTTCTTTGAAAAATGTGAACAAAGGACATGCACACCAACTCTAGAATCACACGTCATCACCTGACATCTGGTATCCCATCGAAGGCCCCTTTAAATCTGCAAGGCCGACCATGAGAAAGAGCGCAGCCTGCACATTTTCGAGCCTCTGAGAGCTCACAGGTCATCGCTTTTCCCCTCTCTGTCGTACATGCGGTGGATACTTAACGGGTGGATACCCAGAGCGTGTTCAGTACATTTCGTTCCCCCGGGCCTTTGCTACTCCTAAGTTCTGTCGCGCTGTATGTGTTAGCTTCAGTAGTTTGCACATATGCAACTGAGACTGGTTGGCATAATATCCTCAAAGCCTGCATGCAAAGCTCGCATTCTCTCCTCCTAAGAAATGGCCAAATGCGTACATTTATGCAAAGTTAAAACCATATGCGTGGCTTTGATTGACTTATGTTTTAGGACGGCTACCTTTTACGAAAAAAAAAAAAAAATTTATATATATATATATATATATATATATATATATATATATATATATGTTTTTTTTTTTTTTTTTTTTTTTTTTTTCAGTTATGCATCAGCGAAGGTCAGCAAGTGATGTATGGCTGACCTCGGCTGGAAGGCACTGGGACGTATGTGCTATTAAAGCAGATTTATTTAACCTCTGCGCCAAGCATGACGTGTCATTTGTAGACTTAACAAAGCAGCCATTTGATCTTTGGCGTGGCGGCACATCTTTATATTTTGAATTTATCTTTTTTAAACATTTGTCCTGTATATGTCTGCAAAAGTATCTCAGTGTGTTTTATTAATGCAGGGTGATTTATTCGAATTAAAACTGAAGAGGAAGTGAAATGATGCGACAGTTTTACAATTGAGTCGGCTGATTCCACTTTGGCCTCCCTGAAAAATCAATTGCAGCCAAATTCCTGGTTAATAAACTACAACTGTGGGTCATAAACAGAGGAGATCATTTGTAAGAAAAACAATTCTTGGAAATTTTCTAGAGAAACAACCTGAAAATTTCTTATTTTGAAAAGTCTAAAATTTGCCAGAAAAGGCTCTGAAATTTTTACATCAATCTCCTTTTATGTGGAAATTTTGTAGCAACATTTACCCATTTAGTTGACTTATCGCAAAGAATGTCAGCAGTCCCGCTGACAGTAAAATTGCAAAAATTGGAATTACAAAAATAAAAATATAAAATCACTTAATGGAAACACAGCAATTAAAAAAAAATCCTGTTTTTTGATAAAAAGGTTTTTACACTAGGATGAGGTGGGTTTTTTGGCCGCGTCGCAGTTTGTAAATTTCGCAAAACTACATTGGAAATACTTTTTCTTATCACGTGTGTCATGATTACCACCTGGATTGGACTACTTGCTGAAAAGATGAGGATGAAGACCACAGGAAATAGCTTGTGGCGAGCGTCGCGGTATGTTTTTAAACTATGTCATTTTTATTAAGTTTGCCACTTAATGTAAAAACTGCAGTTGCCACATTGTGTTTTTCCAAAATTAGCGGAAAATCAACAAAGGTTTGCACACATTTTCAATAGAAATGCAGCTACATGAAGGGCAATTACATGGCAAAAGGTTCAAAAATAGCGATGAGCAGTTTAAGGATCTCAAGAAGATTCGCTAAGTCAAAGACGGGGCTTTTCAGGCGACATGTTTTTATCGACATCGCCTTAAAAAACATTCCTCCCTACTTTAATCCCTGATGGCTGTCACAGAACAGCAAGATCAGAGACGGCTTGGGGAGACGGGAAACGTTCACCTGAATAGGTCTCACAGCAGAAATCACTTGAGTTTGTTTTAGTGTTGACATTATTTTTAACCAGTACGAATTAGATGTACTGTTTAAGTGGCCTTGTTTAACTTCTTGAACTGAAATTTTGACTCATTATTCAAATCTGGTACATATGGAGAACACGTGGGCAGCGAGGTCAAGCAGTTTGACTCCACTGTAATCGCAAAGGGGGCTTGAACAGTCGGTTTTTATTCATTTCTCACTTCACGCTAATGACATGCAGTGCTGCCGTGCCCGGTCGTCTTCTTGACTTTGTGCCCGTTTGACACCGTGTCACTCTGTCGAGCTAAACTTTGTCCCGCACCCAAAGGGAGTCGACACGGGGGGGGGGGGCTTCGGCTGTGGTATTCTGTACTGGGCCAATTGGCAGCAGATACTGGAGCGAAGCCAACACACAGTGGCCCGGGAGCCGTTTCTCTCCAGCAGTCGCTGAAGATTTCTGCAAATTTAATTCCCCCAAAAAAGAAAAAGGAAAAAAAGGCCCAGAGGTCCCTGTGGTCCGGAGAGCTTTAAGGCTTCTGGACCCAAAAAAAAATGTTTCAGGGATTTCCTGAAGGGAATTACTCTCAATGGAACTGACAAGTAATCACCTTTATGAGCTTTCGCTCCATTTGCATGTGGAATAATGAAGTGTAACTGGTGGCTGGAGGTCAAATGTAGACTGTCACTGCATTGTCAGGTTGAATCAAGCTTCAACTTTTTGTTGTTTGGGTTTGTAACAGTACAACACATTTTGTTCATCATTGAGGCTTTCCCTCAGCCAGTGGCATTTCCAAGTTATTTTATTTCATTTTATTATTCCTCTGGAAAGATTGTTTTCGTCTACGGCCAACAGCTTGAATTGATCGACTTTTTTTTGTATTACTTACTCATTTTAGACACTCGATCAATCAATCTATAAAAAAACAGCAGGACAACAGGGCGGGCAACTCTGACAGCCTTTGGCCGAAGTGACTCTTGACATCAAGCAACCAATCTGACTGCAAAAATCATTTTAATACACAGTGCTCTGCCCTTTTAGCCCTTTTTTACATTTTGTCTCATTATATCCTCAAACTTTTGTGTATTTTATTTGATTTTTTTGTGGCAGACAAACGCAAAGTAGCAAACAATTATGAAGTGGGAGAGCAAAAACATACCTTACTTCTGAGATTACTTCTGCTTTTGTTGTGTTTCAAACAATTGAATTGTGACATCAAAAGTTAAAACTCTCCATACAAAAACAGTCTTCAAACAAAATTGTATTCTTTTAAATGAAAAAATCTTCCCAGACCAACTTGGGCCTATGTCAAAAAAAATTGTACTTGCCGTCCTCCCACAACTTTGCCGGTACTTCAAGTCGTAGAGCAGCCCGATACCATCATACTACCACCAAACAGAAATAACATCACGTATCAGATATGCTGCTGTCATAAATATCACTGCTGTTCTCTGGCACAGTTGCTCAGGAAACATTTGGTTGCAGGGGATCCTATGGAGGAAAACCAGTAATTTCACAATTGTTTCATCTCTGGTTGCAAGTGAATCACTGACATTCAGTGATGTCTTCCTTCTTTGACAAAAAAATAAATAAATAAATGTCTATGCTGTTCATCCTGCACAAAATCAACCAGACTCCCAAGAAGAAGAATGAAGAATCACAAACCAGGCTGTATACCGTGTGTTATGTGTACGCGTCTGAAAAGACTGCGCATTCTTTTAGCCGTATTCTGCACGCTCATAATCGTTTGATAAAATGTCTTTTTTATTTCAGATGCACAATTTTATGGGGAATATCCTACCGACTTTGTGTCTATGTGTTTGCCTGTGGAATGACAGCCGTCAGTATCGCCCTCCTGTGCTCCATTAGTAACGCTGAATGCATTTGTGACTGAGTGACCCAGAGAGGCAAGAAACACAAAAATAAGCTGTTTTTGCAGTTATACCAACAGCCTGCAGCAGCGAATGAGGGCGAGGGATTGTTTTGCATCTGTTTCAGTGCTGTTTAGCATGTTAACACGATCCTCAAGTGTCTTTGATTTCTTTCCTGTTTCAAGAGTCATGCTGACATCCTTTCGGCGCTGTAGAAAGCATAAGAAACATAAATAATATGTTTTCTATATGCTTGTACTTTTTTTTTTAAAGGAAAAAATTATTTTAATCAAGATCTAAAGTAGAGGCTTCATGGTGGACGATCAGAAAAGAAGAGGAAGGAAATGCAACGATATTACTTTACTTTAGTCTGCTCTTTGTGAGATTGAGAGGTTTGGTCTTCCATGAATGAAATGACACAACCTCATTTTTTTTTCATGATGTAACCTCCAAGCTCAATATTGTTTTGGATTTCATGTGCTTCAAAGCATATAGCGTTCCATAACTATTAAATAAAGATAAATAGTAAATTTTAGGGAACCACTTTTTGCTTTCACTTTCACCTAAACACAAGAGGTTTTGGACCCGCGTGAAGCTGACGCCCCACCCACGTCAAAAAATGTGGCTGGTGCTCCGTTTGTGCCGTTAAAATTTTTGTTTGTGCAGGTTTGGTTTTCGAGATATTTAAAATGATTCTTTAGGTCATCCAGAGTTTACCAGAGTTCACCATCTCCCCCTCTAGCTCCAAAAACACCCAAAGTGGGCTACTGCTCAGTCTGTGTCTATCAACTATCTATCCCATACAAGATATTACATCATTTTCTTTCGGACTACAACTGACTACACCAAAACTGACGACTGAGTTGTGTACATGCGACATCGAGGACGAAGATTTCATTGCGTTTAGTGATTTGGAGAGACACGGATGGTTTGGCAAACTTGTTAGCATGTTATTTATGCTATAGTTTCCTGAATAACTTAATATGTTATGTTAACATATGAAGCACGTTCTCAGTTTGTTGTTTGACATGTAACATTAGCATCCTGTGCAATTATTCAGCCTGTTGTTGCCTCTATTCTATTTTTATTGCCTTTCAAGATGACATGTCTATTCTTGGTGTTGGATTTTATCCAATAAGTTTCCCTCAAATATGCTACTTATACTCCGGTGCGACTTATATATGTATTTTTCTGCTTTATTCTGCATTTTTTGGCAGGTGTCAATATACAAGCCAGAGAGGCCGTTTGGGTGGATATTAACCACCTTTCGAAATTATCCAACGCCATGTCTCAGTTGTTCTGGTTTCACTCTGACATCAACATGAAGCTGTTTTGCAGTGGCAGTGCAGCCTAAAGCGGTGAAGGAGCGTTTCATTTCTGTAAAGTTTGCTTAATCAACCAAACAGCAGAATGTGTCCTTGCTCATATGAATAAAAAGCTTGTTTCACGACAATAAAAAGTGAGTGCTGAGTCTCCAATTCTAATTCCTACACATAAAATTGTTTTGTCACAAACTGAGAAAAAACTGAAATCTTTGTGAGGGCTGGAATTATTACATTTTATGTGGTGCGGAGTTGGAACATTGACGAGAAAATGTGCAGAAAAGATCATTTGTTCCCATTGTGACATCACACAGCACACCCATCCAGGTCGCCATGTTGCCTGCTCAGTCATCCTCATGTCTCCAGTTTTGTAGCTCATAGAGTCAAAAACCAGTGCAAAACTTTTTATTCAAGCTTCTTAAAGATGTTTAAAATTGGTATATAAAATTAAGTCACAGTTTGAGACCATATGTTACAAACATAAACCCAAAACTGGCTGCATAAAATCGTTAAAAAAACAAAACAAAAAAGAAACGCAAACAAGACACGTTTAAGCTCCTTATCAGGGATGCACAATATTGGATTTTTGGTCGATATCCAAGAAAGCTGTGGACTTTTTACCATTCCTTATAATATACACATTTTGATAGTCTTGTTTCCTTTCCTGTCTACTATATTTTATTGAACTATTTTTGATTTCTGATTTAGCCTGATCCCACCATGCTAATAGGTTGTCAGTGTGATCCATCTCCCCACTCAAGTTTTGCAGCAGGGCGTTGATCTCACCTCTGTAAAGCTCCTCCTGGAGAAGAGCAGCATTCAGACACCAGAGACGCCCATTTCTGATGCCTCGTCCATCTCAACCTGGAGGAAGGAATGGACGCTCCAGGCGTTGTCTTGAATGAGACAGGACGACACCTCGGGGACAAGAGAAGACGACATCAGGCACAAGTCAAGTCGTGATTGTTTAAGATTTCCCAGAACAATTTGTTTCCTGGTAAACTGTTTTTTATCTGGAAAGAAAAGTCTCCACATATCTGTTAAACTATTATTTACCATGATATCAAAAAGTATACCTCTGCTTGGATCTTCAGAAAAAGTGCAATTTCCTTAAATGTCTGAATTTGTAAGTGTTGTATTGAAATCTCCTATTATTATGAAATAATTTGTGAGGCATGTTCTTACATTATTAAAAAAAATGTACTTTCCATGTCTATATTAGGAGCATGTATTTTAATTAATCTACACAATTTATTTTCATCAAGAAAATCAATTACTAACAGTTCACCTTTACTTTCTTTCATGGTTGTTCATGCAAACATTTCTGGTTATGGTGAAACAGGTTTAGATAGCATACAAATCATACTGACTGATTATGTCCTGCTAATGCTCTTGTAAATAATATACAGGTGTGTTTCCATTGATCATATAATTGTGCAATGGAACTAAACAAAAAAAATCTACCTAATGGAAACATCATTTTGAAAAAAACATGATTTTTGATTAATTCTTTGCGTTGGGTTGAGTTGGTTTTCTAACTGTATAAATCAGTATATTTCACAAAACTACAACAGAAACACGTTTTTCGCATCACGTGTCACGTGATCAAGAACTGGATGTTACTACTGGCAGAAATAACAAAGAAGATGACAGGAAGTATTAGAGAATGATGCTGCTGCAGGGGTTTTTTTTCAGTTTCTCATAAATCCTTTATTGTCACCAGCTAAATATCATATTTATTGTTCCAGGTAGGGAAAGCCATGCCTTGCTGCATTTTTCAATGAATTTAAGTTTTATATCAAAGACTCTGACAAAAAGTATCTATTAAGACAATTTAAATCTGAACTGCTTTGAATGTATAGTTGGAACTGAAGGCCCTTAGCTTTTTCTTAAATACTGTTTATCAGAATTTGTTTTTCTTGAGGCATAAAAAATGTTTCACTCTGTCATTATTCAGTGTGTCTGCAAATAAAGTTTGAAAAAAAAGAAAACATCCCCGCCCCCGCTCGCAACAGACTTCTTGTGGCTTTGATGTGAAACTGTGATGTCACTCATCCTGTCTGTGACGTCATTGGTGACTGTCTCTAAATTCCAAGATTCGACAGAGAAATTCATTTGCGATTTCAGGACGTTTGATAAACAGAACAGCAATGGAGCAGAAGAATTTGTGTTTCGAAACTGTGGAGATCTTGGAGAGACGGTGTGAAGAGTTTGAGGAGGAAAATATCCTCCTCAAACAATCACTGGAGAAACTCAATTTAAAACTCCAAAATCTGACTGAAAGAGACTCCACCATGAATAATCTGGTGAGAGAAAATTCATTGCTGAGAGACAACGCGGATGAAAGTGAACGACGAATCCTGGCACTGACCGAAGAATTGGAGAATTCAAGAGCAAAAATTGAAACATTGAAAAGAGAATATAGAGACATTGCAATCGAGAATCAGCGACTGGAAAAAACCAATGCGTCAATCAGGCAACAGGACGGACGGACGGCCGGACGAACGGATGGATGGATCGCTTGCAGACAGTATAAAGACAAAAACACGCACAAATTACAAAAGTTGTTTTTGTTTTCCTTGATGTTGTTTAATGGTTACTGTGGTAACTATGGCTACTGTGGTAACTATGGTTACTGTGGTAACTATGGTTACTGTGGTTACTGTGGTAACTATGGTAACTGTGGTTACTGTGGTAACTATGGTTACTGTGGTAACCTTCAGTTATGACTGGAGACTCATTGTTGATGTAATCATTATAAAATAACTTATTAAGTATTGGCAAAGATCAATATGATTTTCACAGCGTTGTTGTTGTTAGCAGCTGCTGAAAGTAATTAAAATAGTTACTGTTTATGTCACTTAGTTACTTTCCAAATGAAGGAGTCAGTAATCTAAGTTACTATTTGAAAGAGTAATCAGTAATCTGATAATGCAATCACTGCCTGTGTGTAGATAGTTTGGCTGTAATGAAAGAAAATAATCTAAGAAACGCA